CTCTGTCGTACAGGGATGCTGGGGAATCCCTCATTCTCTCTCTGTCGTGCGGGTTTTCTGGGTAATCCCTCATCCTCTCTCTCTCTCTATCTCTCTCTCTTGCTCTCTCGCTCTCTCTCCTCTCTCTTGCTGTCTTGTATTGCTAGCATCTCTCTGTCGTACAGGGATGCTGGGGAATCCCTCATTCTCTCTCTCTCTCTCTCTCTCTCTCTCTCTCTCTCTCTCTCTCTCGTAATGCTAGCTTTTCTCTGTCGTACAGGGATGCTGGGGAATCCCTCATGCTGTAGAGTTACTGCTCGCACTCTTCAAACTCTCCACGCAGTCTCACATCCAGCTGGATAAGACCGAGATGGCAAAGGTAAGGCGTGAATGCGTATGTGTGTGGGTGTGTTCGTGTGGGGGTGCGTGTATACATACGTGCGTGGTGGTGTATATATATATATATATCAAGAGCTAATAAATAGAGTGTGGGCTAGAGTGTACAATGGGAAAACGGGAAAATAGGCTGCTATTTTACGGCAATATTATTCTACTTTGCCTGCGAGTCTAGAATATTTTCATGGTATTGCGTTAAGCAGAAATCTTTGCTCTCTAAAATAAGACCAACCGCTTGTCTCTACAATACTCTTAGGCTGAGATATTGGCTCGTAAACCTCCCCTCCCACAGGCCTCACGCCGCCTCGCATCCAGGTTATTCCCAAACCTTCTCGCGCTGAACGATTCTGGCTATCGTTTTCCGTTGCCGCTTGGAGCGCTGATAATTGATGTCACATGCTCAAATTTGGTATTCTTACTACACCATATAGTAACTGAGCTGCGTTGCAGAGACTTAATTTAGAAAACATTGCCGGCTCCATCATGACGGGCATTAGCCGTGCTAGGAAAGATAATGGGAGATAAGGGCATAGGCGATGACCCCGAAAGTCACATATGATAACCGAAACGCCGTTCATTCATAAAGTTATCGCGGAAAAATCCAAACTCTCACGAAGCGACTTTCCTAACCCGCAAAACGCGAGAAGGTTCGGGAATAACCTGGATGCGAGGCGGCGTGAGGCCTGAGGGAGGGGAGGTTTACGAGCCAATATCTCGGCTTAGGAGTATCGTAGAGACAAGCGGTTGGTCTTGTTTTAGTGAGCAAAGAATGCTGCTTAACGTTGAACATTATTATTGCTTGCTAACATGAAATTACTCTAGACTCGCAGGCAAAGTAGAATAATATTGCCGTGAATAGCACTATTTTTCCCGTTTCCTCGTTGTACACTCTACGTATTTATTAGCTCTTGATATATATATATATATATTTAGAGCTTATAAATACCTATATATAGGTATTTATAATATATTATAAGCTCGATATATATATATATAAATATATATAAATATATATATATGTGTGTGTGTGTGTGTGTGTGTGTGTATGTATGTGCGTGTTGTGTGTGCGTGTGCGTATATGTATATATGTGTGTGTGTGTGTGTGTGTGTGTGTGTGTGTGTGTGTGTGTGTGTGTGTGTGTGTGTGTGTGTGTGTGTGTGTGTGTG